CAATTCATTTGGTTTAAATTACCCTCACTGTTGCGGTGTGTGGAACTGTTACTTGTCGCCTTAATGAGTTAACCTCCGCACCGGCTGCGTCTGAGTTTCTTCTGTTGTTTGCTGTATGGAATTTGTTTGATTAATTTTCTCCGATAACCAAAGCAGATAGCACAACTCACTTTTCATTTTTTAGTCGAGACAAAGTGTGTATATGTGTGTGTAGGCGAAACAGATTCATTATGTTTAAGAAAATGCAATAAATTTTGGTTGTAAGTTTAAAATGAAATATGTCTTTCCCACTACATCGATTCCTGAGGTGAAAGTACACGGTGTATCGGCCCTAATTTAATTCAAATAAATCATAGCGAGTGAAATTTCCCAACGTTGATTTTGATCCCTGCCCGGCCTGGTAAATGAAGTCTGGAACACAACGCGATCTTCTGAGTTAGTTGCTTAATGTCAGATTGGGATTTTTATTAGTCCTTTTTACTTTGAAACCCTGTCGTTTAATGTGTTTCCAGAAATTTCCCCAACCAAATGTCAAAAATTTCATTCTGAGCGTCATCTCTGCTTTATTTACACACAGTAAATTCTCAAACAGTACCGAGGTAATTTTCTTCGATCTTCACACAGTAACGCACAGGATGATAATGTCACCAACATGATTTTGAAACCAAAATATATAGAAAGATATAGCTATACAAGCAAACAATAAATTTGTTAAACTAGTAAGAGACCCCCTGTCGTCAAAAATATTAAACTTTTTTAATTCATTATAAGGTATGATCTATAAGTTTAAAACAGCTAGTTGGTTTATAAGAAGCTTTTTCTTTTTTAGAAAAGATATTTGTTTTGATGTTTGTCGGACCTTGGAATAAACAGCGGTCCTGCGGAGAGGCGGTATGCAACTTTAACTTCACTGTCTAACTAATTTTAACCACATCTTTATTTCACCTAAGGCCTTAATAACCAAGTTCCTCACAAAACATAAGGGATACATTTTAAAAATCGTCGAAATAAAATTTCGTGGAATCCCAGTTCTAGATATCACTCAGATCCTTATACTTACTATTAACAGTTCAGTTTAATCAATTAATGTTTGTCTATCAGCAGCGACTCCTACATTCTCAATCAAGACTTAAGATTGATTATATTATTTTATTTTATATTTACTGAGTACTAGGTAATACTAAGAAAGAGTTGTTGATTTTTGCTGCTGCAATTTTTTTAATTAAATTCTTGAGAAGCGTCTAAATAAATACTGGTAAGAAATCATGTACTGATTTTAACCTCTGCTCCTTTATCGACTATCGTATCTATCTGTTCCCTTCTACATATATACCCGTTTTTATGAGCATATAGTCGTATATCATCTACCATCTAGCAGAAACTCCACTCACCACAACAGTTGCCTGCATATGTATTGTGAAGGAAAAGGGCCAGCAGAGCAAGAAGCGCCAGCAGAAAGTAAGAATGTGAAGAGCAACACATAAAACTTTAGATACCACCCACTCTTTACCCAGTTTTCGGTCCGAACTGCTATATTCCATACTAAAACCACACATTGGCTCCTACAGCTACATTAGTCCACCAAGAAACTTCCTTTTTCCAGGAAATTTCCGTTATTCTCGCAAAAACGTATGAAAAAAAACGCAAAGCAGACGCTGAAAAAGAAGCATAAAACCGAGTAACAAAAAGACAAAGAAAAAGGGAGCAATGCCGAAAGCATAGACCAAAAAATAAAGAAACGAATAAAACGACCATTTGCAAGGTTTCGATGCACTTATAAAACGATGCCCGCCTAACTGCACCCACCTCACCGAGTGCAATTCCATTGTAGTTTATGGTTGCCGTGGAAATGGACCCGCCTTTCTTACGTCTTAACGCCATTGTGTTGGTGCACTCGCATAGCGCACAGTCATCTAAAAGAGTGTAAGTGTGTTGTCGGCTCCTTCTCATACCGCTGTTAGCCGTCGGGTTGAATGCAATGCTTGACTTCACTAGCGGCTGTTTTGGTTGAGTTCGGCACCTACTTTCCGGTTTCCAGCGCACTCATCCAGTGGTTGGTATTGTAGTGGTTGTTAGCTGGTCGTTTCTCTGTGTCTTTTGCGTTTTGTTGTTTGGCTTTGAATTTCTTTTCGTGTCGGTTTTTATTGTTGCAGCATTGGACGTTTGTATTTTATTGCGCCACACTGCACCCAACTTGGTGAAGCTAAGTGGTGGCGCTGGGGTTCAGATATACATACAAGTGCATCAATCGCCATATTTCGAGTGGACAGTTGCAGTGGTGGTGCTAGTAGGGAATCGAAGAGGGATTTGGAAATTAGTCAGTGAAACACACCTAAAGATTTTTTCGAATATAAGGTAGAGAGTGTTGTCAAAAAAAGAGGACTCTTTATTTGAGTGCAAAATTAGAACTAAAATATCGTTCTGAAAGTCTGCTGACTTCATTATCGAGTCCTTACCTACTTACTTGAAATCAATCTCTTGAAACCACGTTGACAGTGAGTTTCCTGGCAAAAGTTTCCATATATTTCAAATCTATTGGAAATCTGTAGTAAACTTCTTAGCCAACTAGCGAAAATCGGTTTGAAAATTTATACTACCGGGTTCAGTGAACATCCATTAAGTACGCGTGTGGTTCATGACGTAGTTTTGTTGTAAAACAGAGCAGGTTTGGTTCAAGAACAGCGGAATTATCATGGAAGACGTTGCATAAACTGAAATCCTCAACCATAATCTCGAAAAATTCAATCCAAGATTCTACGACTTCTTTAAAGTGTCTTCAAAGTATTTCCACTCTACTTTCTTAGAAGCATTTAATTGTTCGAATGTTTTTTGGGATTTTCACTCACCTACCTATACCGATAGAGGTCGACATACTGGACCCATCCCTCTTTATTGGAAAATTCTCCCCGCATTCACTTGATTTTTCTTCTTCTACCATTTTTTTTGTTTTTTAATTTCACCGATTTCTTTTTACCCTCATTCATTTGGTGCGACGACCCTAAACCTTACCATCGCCTGCCGTCAGCCAATGCTGCTGTTTGCCCCCAATTTGGAGTTCCACCACTATCTGCGCATACACCAACAAAACCAGCCATGAACATGAGTGCCTCGCAACAACAACAGCAACTGCAGCTATTATGAAAGCATAAGGGAGAGCAGCAATAACAACTACAGCAGAAAAAACGTAGCAACAACTATTGTTGTAATGGCAACCATTTTGTAAGGACAGCAACAATTTATGTTGCAACAACTTTCAAATACAATTCGCAATGCAGCAATAACAAATGACGACTGCAATGTGCAAGAGCAGCAGCAACCAAGCGCGACGCCAAGCAACTCGGCGCAACTCAGCTCAACTCAACTCAGTTCGGCTTGGTTTAGTTCAGTGCACAGCTGCAGTCGGCGAGGTGGAACGGTCGCAATGGCAGCGAGAGCAGCAAGAGCACTTTGCGTACCTACACAACGACACACACACATATGTATGCAATGTAAGTGGAGTGTGTATGTGTATGTGTGTGTGAGGCCTTGGAGGAACAGCAGTGGCTGAAATGCTATAAACTTCGGTAGGATGTCCTGTGCAATGGTCGGAATTAATTTATTGCCATTCGCAAGACTCTGACAAAAACAAAAAATACAATTGCATGTGCACACACACACACATATATATTTATACATGTGATTACACCAAGCTGTTTGGAAAGTTTATGTGAATGCAAGTGCATATATTTGTGGAAAATTGGTCTTATTTGGCGCTTTGTTACATTCCGTTAAACCGTTATATTTGTATACATATACACAAGCACTTTCAAATGTATGTATGTGACCATTTTCCATGACATATGGGTAAGCTTATGTCGGTATATTGGCTAGGCTTTAAAGTCTATTTATTTGTGTTTGTTCCGATTGTTCAGTTTGTATGGCAGATATGTGCTATATGTTATGCTATCTGGAATAAGGTTGAGAAAAGGCATGTCTTCCAAGAGAACAAAATTATGAAGACAATCATTACTAAACCAATTCTTCAATTAATAGCCAATTAAATATCTTTTAAGTAAAAAAATTTAGTCTGTGTTTGGTTTTCAAAGAAACTCTGGGAGCAGCTGGAACATCTGAATATATCGCCAATGGATATAGCATGCTTTTCAGGCTTTATGCCTTTGAGCACTTAAATATATATATATATATATATATATATATAATATATATTGTATTATATCTTATCATAAGTTAATGTTAGTGGAACAAAGCTTTTAAAGTCAAAGCAACAGAAATCCTGATGTAGGGTTACACTCCCACATTCAAACTAAGGTATAACGGATGAAAATTTTGTGATCATTTTTGGAACTCTAAATTCTGGGAAAGCTATGTTTTCGCTAGCCGTCATGGACTAACGAGTCCTAGGGCGAATGGACTGCTTGCAAAACAAGCATCAATTCACTGCTCAAAGTCATAATATCGTGATAGGCCAAGTTTACAACCAATATGCAAACAGTGGTTCAATTATAAGGGTGTGTTGTATATGTTTGAGTAGTAAACATCCACACGTCGGATCACGGATCACAGGAACTTATGAAGCTGACGAATATTTCAGCCTTCATATAGCGGCAAATCTGCTTAGAATTCGTCGCAAACTCATTCTACTGACTTAAGAATCTACAGTAATGGACATAATACAGAAAACTTGAGTGGAATACTGGAATATCGTGCTAGTGATGTGATCCGTAAGCACCATCGTTGTTTTTCAAATATTAAAAGATAGGTTAATATTGAGATATGCACCGCGACCTGAAGTCTAGTAAATCCTCCACTATTTTTTAAAGAGGCATATAGTCACAGAAGCCTAATCAATTCCAGAATCGTGCTTGGTGTTAGCGAGACAATGTACTCCCTACTCGAATATATAAAACCTTGGAACTTACTCATGCTTTGGGCACAATAGACCATAGATCGCGGTGCATACCTCTATTCCAATCTACTCATGCTTTTGTAGCATTATACGAGTTCTGGTGGCAGGTGCTACGGATTTTCCGTCTCCAACTGTCAATTCTCAGAAGAAAATATTGTACAGATGCCTTTTGAGTCTACAGTAAACAGTTTATCGTGCCCCGAGTAACCGACTTTTTAAATATGAAAAATCGCACAAACAAAATCAATCGATCAATTGATAATACAATATAACAAATTGAACATTGCATCGTTCTTTGGTAAAACAGTGACTGCACCAAGTATCTCTCGAGTATTCAAAATACTTCAGGGCCTTCCATTTTGTGGATAAAAAAAAAACTTTCTCTAAAAAATTTACATCGGATTTGGTGATATGGTAGAGGTAAGATTTTTTATATGATGAGTACATGAGATTTTACCCATAAGATTAAATAAAGAAAATTAAGATCTAATCAGTAAAAATTGGAACAGCGTTATCTATGCTACAGACCTGCTCTTAACTGATTGAGGTCGAAAAAATAAAGAGTCCAGCATTCAACTCTGGATTGGAAGAAATCAAAGCTGTCCTTATTTTCGGCTAGTAGGGGAGTTTTATTGGCGCCTTTGTTAGCTTGCCGTAAAACGTTAGAACTTAAATAAAATCAAGACATTTCCAAGAATCAACTCAGGATTTCTTTTCACCAACTTCCTTTCTACTTCTATAGCAAGAGTTTATGTCAATTCGAAAATCTAAAAATAAAAGCAACAACAATAGGAAAATCGAAAATAACGCCGAAGCATGCATAAGTAAATCATAAAAGCGCCTCACGCCTCCCAAGACTGGAAAATTCATTAATTCCATTTTACTAATTAAATGTACAAACAAAATCACGGAAATTGTAAACGGAGAGTGGGAAGGAAAATCACAGAAATCTTTCACACTTAATGATTTGTTGGATGCTAATGCTGCCGACAGTTGTTATTGGAATGCATTAATTGTGCTTATATAAGTATATATTGGTTGTTATTATTGTTGTTGCTACATAATAAGCGCTCGATGTGAAAAACAAGAAATTCTCATTAACAATAAAACACAATGACAAAAACAATTCAACATGTGAACGCCTCGAGCAGGGCGCTAGCGTGTCCTTCCTGTGAGATACCACCCGCTCAATGTTAGTGAGCCAAGGAGGGTGCTGATCGATTTGTTTGAACTTCTAGGGCTGTCTGTGTGTGCGTGTCTCAGCAGGCTGTGCGTATGAGTGCGTGCGCAGAGATTTTTAATTGCCAACAATTGTCAACCGGCAAAGACGCGGCGCGTCGTCGCACCAATTGGTGTGCGTGTGTGTGTGTGGTGTAGCAGGCAATCAGCCAACAAATGCAGCCATTGTCCAAATGATTTTTTTTTTCTGTTGACACTGCCACCGCTGCTTGGACCATTCTGCTTTTTTTCATTTTATATTTATTTACGTTGACCACTCAGGCGTTGTCGCCTTGTCACAATTTATAGCATACTTTTCAGCGCTTGGCGGCCGTTAACACACATTACCCCTGTGGCTCCTTGCTTTTCGCCCTTTTCACTCTCTCTTTCGACTTACACTTAACCAAAATTTTGTCCTTCACTCATTTTGTTGTTTTTGTTTTTGTATTCCTTTGGTAACAGCCTGTCTGTGTCCGGTTGACTGCCGCGCCAATGTTTGCCAGCCTGGAAGCGCAAATTAAAATGTTCATCACCAGCAGCGCCGAATGACGGCCAGTCGCCAGCAGCTCACTAGCTTTACCCCTTGCCGTTCTCTATCTACCACTCTTACTCGGGGTATCGCTCTGTCTGCTCATACTTCTTGTACGTCCGCTTTTCTTATGGAAGTTCGTTCGTTGCATGCTTTTAATAATAATTATATTTTTGCATAATTGTTTTTGTCCTACACACATACATTGTTTGTTTGTGTGTGTATGTTTTTTGTTTATTAGTAGTAGTAGCTATTTGGTACTTTCTTTTGGGTCCAGGGTGCGAAATATGGCGCGTTGTTCTGCCCAATGCGTAATCACTTAAATCATTGTCGCGGCCATAAAATTTTCTCCTTCTAACAACAAAAACAATAGCTATGTTATGCATGTCTTTATAGTACAGCAGCAATCTAAATTATGTTCCATAATGAATTCCAGCGTTAATTACTTTAATTTCGTGGCGCCTCAATGAAGGAAATTGCATAAATACTCAAAGAAATAACTGGAAGCAAATGAAGTGTTGGCTTTTAAGAGAAGATTTGCGGTGATGGAGTAGGGGTGTGATAGGCTAATATTGGGGAAAGAAAAAGGACCCCTTCAAGGGTTAGTTAGAGATAACTCCATTTATAAATTAATTCAAAAAGGAGTGATAAAATCGATTTCTATATCTGAAATAGCGATTCTTCTTGGCTTATTGCATCATAAAGAAGGCAGAGAACTCCAAAAGTGTATTTAAAATAAAGTCTAAAGAAAGGTTTCTTTTCAAAGAACTAATTTTTTTTTTGCCCAGTTATAAATATAATAAATATTAAATAGCACAATTAAGTCCGCTTAATCACTCCGAGTCGATTACTACCTAAGAAAGACTAATCAGAAGATGTGTAACTGTGGGATACTTCTTAGGTCAAAACATGTACAAAATAACTGTTATGAATTCAATCGAAATATATAAGGTCTAGTAAGAAATTATCAATGCAATCACAACAGACAGCCTAGCAGTTTTCTACTCGACTGGCACTCTTGCTCACCAAGAGTACTCATCAGCGTTTCAATTTAAAAGAACTGTAGAACGGCATCTCAAGATGGCTACGTATCGTTGCAGTAGAAACAATTGGATTTCGGACACGAGAGATACGGAGGACTGAAGAGGAAAGCGAGGTGCTTTTGCAGACGAAAAGAGAAAGACGAAGAAATGCATGAGTATGAACAGCTTGAGAAGCTGGCTCCTATGAAAAGATATGGCGACTTACAGAAGGTTGTAAGACTGGAACATATTCATTTAGCAGCCAAGAAGATAATCTGGTCACCGATGCCCAGAGTATACTGAGTTTATGGAGTAAACACTTCTGCAATCAGCTGAAAGACAGTAAAAGGGCGACAACCGCAAATGGTGGACTTAAAATCCCATTAGATGGATTAGATATGGGGACCCCACAGTCTGTGCTAATTACCGATAAGCCTCATCAATATGAAATGATGAGCTTTACGAGTTATACGACGCCATCGACATAGTTCAGCGAATAAAAAGATAGCGGCTTTGCTGGCTAGATTATGTCGTCTAAATGTACGAAAGAACTCCAATTTTGAAGGTGTTTGATGCGGCGCTCGCCGAGGAAGGGGAAGACCTCTACACCGTTGAAAAAATGAGGTGGAGAGGTTCTTCGTTGAATTTCTGAAGTGCATGATTGCTGGTGATAAAAAGTGGATACAACAAGCGAAAACAGTCGTGGTCGAATAGCGGTGCGCCGGCGCAAACGGTGGTCAAGCCAGGCTTGATCGTTAGGAAGGCTTTACTATGTATTTGGTGCAATTGGTTTCTTCTATGGTCAAACTGACAACAATTGGATCAGCAATCGCCCAGATTTGGCCAGTTTTGGCTAATAGAAGAGGAATTGCGTTCCATTAGAACAACACCAGGCCACACACAAGTTTGGTCTTATTCATCCATTTGGATCTTTTATAATCCGGACTTGGCATCAAGTGATCACTCTCTACTGTTTATGGCGAATGAGTTTGCTGGTGAAAATCACCTATCCCAGTTTTTTGTCAAATGGAACGAGTCATTATTACAATTCCTGAAAAAGCCAAAAATTTATCGAACTATAGTATATATTGCCTATTCCTCTATAAATCTTGTAATTCCGCCACTAAAATTACTTTTTTGTGTGGTGTTGATTAAAAAATTAAAATCCATTTTTTTATCTCAAATTTTTGAATTAAAAAATTCGCAACCCGCAATAATTTTGACACGTGACATTTTTTTTATCCGATGCTTGTAGCTATTTTTTAATACATTACATACATATACATAATGATTGCAGGCTTATTTTGATGAATTCAAGCTTATGTAAGCCATGCTTGTATTTTTTTTATTTTTATAACCAGGATAGTGCTGAGTTGATTTAGCCATATCCGAATGTCCGTGAGTCTGTACCATATATACATAAACTAGTCTTTCAGGTTTTGAGATATTGTTCTAAAACTTAGCACGTGTCTTTGTCTCGTTAAGGAGCTGATTGTTTAACGAATTCGCCGATATCGGACCACTATAGCATGTAGCTGTCATAAAAGCTGACCGTTCAACATCGACTTCTTGTATTTCCAATATTTTTATTTGACAAAAAATGTTCACGAAAAATGTCACGGATTACTGCCGACAGCAATGCTACAGCTTTCGAACATATTGTTGATCGAACAGTTTCAATAGATGCAAACCGTTAGCCGGTTACGTTGTCAGATTTAATTATACATATACAATTGCTATAAGAAATGCACCCATAAAGAATATTATATCTTCGGTGCAGAATGTTATTTTTTTGATTTTTTATTTTTTTTTTTAGTTTTTTAAATGTGTGTATGGGAATAAAATCGTTTATTTGTACTTGCAACATTTTTGTACTTGCAACATTTGGCGAGACACTTGAGCGCAAGTGCCACTAGGCTGTGGTATGGATGGAGATACTTATGCAAATTGGTTGTTTTAATTTTGCGCATTCGGCGAAATCAAATGAGAATACAAATCAACACGACTCTACTTTTAAGTAGACACGCACATACATACATACAAGCACTTGGCCGCATGTGCGTTCCACGTGCCAGCTAAGAGGCATAAATCTCATACATATGCAATTTACGCACCAACTCGCCCGTACGCGCGCAACGGAAATCGCGGCAATCGCGACGGCTTATGAGCTCAGTTTGGCGAAATTATTGTCTCAAAATTAAAAGTGGAAACGGCGAAAAGTACTAAGTAAAAGTGAAAAAGAATAAACAAGTGTGTGAAATTAAATGCAATAACAATAAAGTAAACGTGTGTATGTGTGAGTGTGTGTGAATGTATTTGCATTGCTTGTAGCAGACTTTAAGGCGCTATAAAGTACGCATAAGAATTCGTATTAATTTAAGTACCACCGCAACATGTGTTGCTTAAAACCCACACATACACACACAGACGCACACATAAGCGCTGGAAAAAATGCGTGTGAGATAACTTTGGTGTATGCAAGTGTGTGTGTATGTTTGTGTGTGGGCGCGGCTGTTCGAAAACGGCTCATAAAAATTCAAATTAACTCACTACTCGCGCGCACACAGCTGTTTCCGTCTCAGATCGAAATTTCTTTATACGCTCTTAAATATTTTAATTTCGCTAAGATTTTTATTACCCACACATTCTTGCGCACACACACACACATGTATTTGGTTGTTTTTTTATTATATTTTCTTCTTAAATTCGGCACACATGTCGCCGCTTGTGTTCGCGCTATTTGCTCATTTGCGCTGATTTTTAAAAGCTTCACAAGCTCTGAAGCATCCGCGCCGTTTTCACCTATACTTCTTTAGTTGTATGTATGATATATGTTCCTGGAGGCGTGTACTGCGCTGAGTTGTGGGTGCGCTTGCTGGCTTAAGATTAAAATATTTTATTTTCGCTCATTTGAAGTCATCAAAGCACCAAAGCTGCGCCCTTCTCTCCCTCTGCAGTTATGCTAAAATTTTTGGAGTGGTTTAAGTAAAAGTGTTTTTGTAACTAACGTTCTTTCCCGATCTGCTTTGCGTTCATGCTTCTTCTTCTTCGACTTCGTTTTCT